AATAAATAGATAACTGAGAAGAGAATTACAAATAATCAGGAACCCAAACTGGACATCAGATGCAAACTATAAATAAGTGCTATATTTAATATATAAATTTGTTAAGGCAAAATCTAGCACAACGTATAGAATGATTATATCATATCACACCCAAGGCAGAAAATATTACCTGTACTTCTGAAAATAACGGATGCACCAAAATGTATGTAAAAACAAAACTAATGAGTTACTCACCTCCCCCATTAACTCCTTGACCACAGGTACCACTCCGTTGTCTTTGGTGAAGCCCTGGTATGACATGTTTCTAGCGGCCCTTTGTGTGCAGATAAATATATCCCCATTGGCGATCTCAAAAGCAATATAAGGCATGTCAGGTCTTAGCCAACAGTTGGTCTGTCCAAACATGGTCTCTGGACGCAAAGTGGCAGCAACCAGAAAAACATTCTTCCCTTTTAGACCACTACAGAAAATGAGAACCGTATTAGTGTCCAGAGTTTGCATTCATTTAAACAGAATAAGACATGCATTTATTAAGATATGAGATTATCTGCTATCCATGGCTCGCTTAAAGTGGCAGATAATTTTGGAGGTAAAACAATTTGAACTCATTCTGTGAACTGGACACACAAACAGTCTGCCAAAAGTCAGGTTACATTAGACCGTTTGAAATATGGATTAGCAGATAAGGCAGAAAATAACATGGCGGGATAACTAGTAATATACTGCCCTCTGCTGATTAAGGCTTGTGCACAACAACATATTTTTTGCTGTTTGTATTCAACCTCCGTTTGCATTTTTCTTATTTATTGCATCAACTCATGCTATTTATTGTTTTTTTTTTAAAGGACAAAAAGGGCTTTAATCTGATGTGACATACACATATATAAATTCTTATTTATTCACAGTTTAGGCAATAATAAAGTGTGTATAATAAGTGCAGCTTAAGAAAAGTAAAAAAAAATATTCAATTATTTGTTCTGATTTTCAGAGTACATAATAGGATTTCAGCTTATTTTGAAAGTTACAGGTCACAAAACACAAGGAGTAAAATAAAATTTAAATGTGGAGCTATTTTAGAATTTGACATGTTTGTCTTGTAAGCTTAATAGCATCACAGAAAGCAAAACTGACGCACAAAAGTATATATTTATATAAAGAACACATCACAGGCTATTTACCAAAGGGTATTCTGACACTTTCAACGTAGTCATTTTGCCGCCAATCTCTGCTAAATAGTGTAGTAAAATTTAGGTTTTTTCAGATTTCTAACATGCACACATAAAACAAGGATTTTTAATGTGTATTTTATAAAGCGGATATATACTACTGCTGTAGAAAACCCCATATTGTTTTCAGCCATATTAACTGAGTAAAACGATACCCCCAATCTATGCCTTTGCTACTATCCTGTGAAGTTACAGTGCCATAAAAGAGATGTGACAATTTTGTTTGATAAATTTGATGGGGCAAGTCTCATTTTGGGGCATTGTAGCAGTTTAACTGTTGAATTTATCCCTCAATGACCTACCATTGGTGAAAGTCGACACTACAGTGTATCTCATATGGTGTATATTGTGCCTTAACGTGATGCCATTTTTTCACCAGTTTATGTCAAACTTTGTGGTAAAATATTTTTGGGGGCATTTTTTGGGGTCATTTTTCAAGTCTGGTATGTGCCACTGTAATCAAAACCCCATAATTATGCTCAGCAAACTATTCTGAATAAAACAATACCCCCAATTTATGTCTTTGTCACTATCCTGTGAAGCTACAGTGCCTTAAGAGTCCTGACCATTACAGTTTTTATCTGAATCCTAATATAACACATAATCCCAATACTACATTTAATTATAAACCTAATTGTAAACATAAACTTAATAATAAACCCAATAATAAACCTGATAATAAATCTAGTACTTACTCTAAACCGGAAAATAATTCTTAATTGTAATCCTTAATTTAATCTTAATCCCTAAGGTTTCCCTCTACTAATATCAATACTGATATTAGTAAGGGATTTTAAACTAAAACAGAGTGGTATGTTGCTGCCATCTACTGGCTATTTTCAGTATTGCAGTCTCCCATCTCTTACATTGAAGACATTATGCCCAATGCAATGCGATGCGATCTGTGCTGGGCAACTGAAAATGCCCAGCACTGATCAGAATGGCATTGGGGCATAGAGGGTGACCCATCAGGGTCTGTTCAGACCCTGGTGGTCTCCCAAGCACCATATCACTTGAAAGAATGACTGTAGCTGAGCTTGATCGCTCAGCTGCAGTGTTCTTTGTGGGTTTAAAGGGCTACATGCAGTGCTGACTTTCAGCACTGCATGCAACTCATCAAAAAGTCTGGGGCCACTAAAAATTGCCACAACTGATAGAGGGGACCCCCAGGTTTCTAATGATACCTGGGTTTCCTAGTGCGAGCAGGGATTTAACCCTGCTCACACTACATTGCGATTTAAATCCCCATTAAAAGAGCTGCTTGCCGACCTCAC